CATGTTCTTGGACAGGGGGGGGGGGGGGGGGGGGGGGGGGGGGGGGGGGGGGTATAACTTAAGAGGAAAATTAAATTTGAGGTCGTTTTTGCACCACTCTGAAAAGTATGTGCTTATCAATTTGTGGGGTGATTTTGTGGAATGCACTGGATGAAGAAATCAAACAAAGTAAAGATAACAGACAGTTTAAAATGAGGTACAAAGACAGTATTTTCGTAAGGTACAAAAATGATTAGAGGGAAGGTAAAACACACTCAGGGTGATACTGTTGTTTTTTGTTTTGTTTTTTATCATCTTGTATTCTCCTGTTTGTATTATACAGTCAGGTCCCTAATTATTTGGACAATGATACAGTTGTCATCATTTTGGCTCTGTACACCACCACAGTGGGTTTTAAATGAAACAATGAATACCTGCTTAAAGTGCAGACTCTCAGCTTTCATTTAAGGCTTTTTTCAAAAATGTAGTATGAACCGTGTAGGAATGACAACCATTTCTTCACACAGTCCCCCAACTTTAAGGGCTCATAAGTATTTGGACAAACTAACATAATCATCAATTAAACAGTCAGTTTTAATACTTGGTTGCAAATCCTTTACAGTCAATGACTGCCTGAAGTGTTGGACACATAGGCATCATCAGATGCTGGGTTTCTTCCCTGGTGATGCTCTGCCAGCCCTTTACTGCAGCCGTCTGCACTTCCTGCTTGTGTTTTGGGTGTTTTGCCCTCAGTTTTGGCTTCAGCAAGAGAAACGCATGCTCAGTTGGATTCAGGTCAGATGATATGACTTGGCCATTGCAGAACATTCCACTTCTTTGCCTTAAAAATGTCTTTGGTTGCTTTTGCAGTATGCTTCAGGTCAATGTCCATCTGCACTGTGAAGCATCGTCCAATGAGTTTTGAAGCATTTGGTTGAATCTGAGCAGATAATGGTGCCCCAAACACTTCAGCTTTCATCCTGCTGCTCTTGTAAGCAAGACAAGACTTCACTAGAATAAATACAGAGGGTTTATCACAAGATGCAAACCATTGGTTAGCCTTAAAAATGGAAGGCCAGATTAGAGTTTGTCAAAAACCATCTAAAAAGCCTGTACAGTTGTGGAACAGCATACTATGGACAGATAAAACAAAGATCAACTACCAGAATGATGGGAAGACAAGAGAAGGAAGAAGGGAAGGAACTGCTCATGATCCAAAGCACACCACCTCATCAGTGAAGCATGGTGGAGGTACTGTTATGTCATGGCCATGTATGGCTGCCAGTGGAACTGGTTCTCTTGTATTTATTGATGATGTGACTGCTGACAAGAGCAGCAGGATGAAAGCTGAAGTGTTTGGGGCACCATTATCTGCTCAGATTCAACCAAATGCTTCAAAACTCATTGGACGATGCTTCACAGTGCAGATGGACATTGACCTGAAGCATACTGCAAAAGCAACCAAAGACATTTTTAAGGCAAAGAAGTGGAATGTTCTGCAATGGCCAAGTCATATCATCTGACCTGAATCCAACTGAGCATGCGTTTCTCTTGCTGAAGCCAAAACTGAGGGCAAAACACCCAAAACACAAGCAGGAAGTGCAGACGGCTGCAGTAAAGGGCTGGCAGAGCATCACCAGGGAAGAAACCCAGCATCTGATGATGCCTATGTGTCCAACACTTCAGGCAGTCATTGACTGTAAAGGATTTGCAACCAAGTATTAAAACTGACTGTTTAATTGATGATTATGTTAGTTTGTCCAAATACTTATGAGCCCTTAAAGTTGGGGGACTGTGTGAAGAAATGGTTGTCATTCCTACACGGTTCATACTACATTTTTGAAAAAAGCCTTAAATGAAAGCTGAGAGTCTGCACTTTAAGCAGGTATTCATTGTTTCATTTAAAACCCATTGTGGTGGTGTACAGAGCCAAAAATGATGACAACTGTATCATTGTCCAAATAATTATGGACCTGACTGTATATGGGGTAATATTGGCTATAAAGTATAAAGAAGTGAAGTGATGTAAATGTGGGGTTATAAATGCAAAGGAGCGGGTATGTATGTAACAGTTTGATTAGTGATAGATTAGTATAGTGTGAGAGTAGGGGTAGGACTAGACAAGCATGTAGCTTCTTCCTACTCCTTTTTGGACAGGAAATACTACTTTATGTTTTTCAATGTCAGTTTGTTCATTATTAATTGTTTTGTCTGTGTGTTTTTTTTTCTACAAGATATTTTATTTTTTTTAAATGTTTGAAATAAATAAATCAAAACACTTTCTTAAAGTTTACAGGTATAGACAAAACTGAGCAGAACCACTTGAGATCATGGAGGCAGTGTAGCCTAGTTCAAGTGTGATATGACTGTAGGAGATGATGTAGAAATTTAAATAATGGTGGAAAGGAATATAGTGAAAAGGATCCTCCGTCCACATTGTGACGGTTTGACTTGATTTCCTTTCTTTTGAAATCTGTTTCGGGGTGCCAGCCAGGTTTCTCTCCTGGCATTTAAGATTAGTCAGTCAGTTTGTCTGTTTGTTTAAAAACGTCACACAAGGATGAACACTTGAAATGAACACCCTTACATTGAATGAATGTGAAAACCACAACACAAATAATTTTCAAACCTAATATTAATGTATATTTCAAACACCGGCAAAAAATAAACAATTCTCAAAGTTCACTACACAAAGAACAAGCCAACACAAAATCCCACTTTGGGTTTTTCCTTTTACTCAGTCTCTTTCAAATGTTCAAAGAATCAAAATAAAAAAAAATCAAATTCAGTTCATCAACGAAGTTACTTTCAGTACAGTTCAAAAAATATCATCAACCTTTAACAAAAAAAAACTCCTTGAGCAAAAAAAAGTCAGGTTACCCCCCACCCCCCACTTACTGACACCGTCAGTCCAGTCTGGTTTGGGGATACGGTTTGCGGCAAGGGTGACGTGGTTGCAGGATTGTGTGCAAGGGATCAGCTGTTTGGGAGATGTGTACGGGGAAATCCGGAGATCGCTGCGGCAGTAATGCTGAGGATGATAAAGATGATGGCCCTGGCGGGTGAAGAACGAGGGTTTAAACGACCTAACTTTTAATATTACTCGCACTATGAGCTGTTTGCTCCGGCCGATCGTCACACCACACTTTCTCTGCCAGTCTCCTTCTCCTGCTCCTCTCTCCTGCTGAATGAATGGCGAGTGAAAATCAGCTGTTCCAACAGGGAATGAATGGGAGTGCTTGAATGGAAGCGGGAACCGGGAACAAATCCCTGCGCAGCTGGGTGTGTTCGGGGCGTGAACAGGTGACAAGGCAGATCAGTAAAAAAAACAGCTGTCACAACATGTTGCAATTTATTTAATGGCCTCACAGACCTCCACCGTCTACAACGCTGCCTCTGTTTAAAGGTACAATATTATGACCTCCTCCACTGTTGCCTCATTTGTTGTTGTGTTAAACCTTTGACTCCGCCTTCTATTGCCATCTGTTGGCTGTATCTTTGCCAACATAAAGGATGTATGGAAGTATGAGGATACTGACTTTTCCGTTATTACAGTCATCTGTTTTTGTATGTAAAGGGAGTATAAATGAACCTTTTTAAAAAAAAACAAAAACAAAAAAAAAATGAGCAAAGGCTACAGACACAAGACCCCATCTCCGTATCTAACACTGAGCATAAATGAGCCTTTAGGAGAAACGCAAGGAAACTATGTGAGAATAGAAGAATTGAGGAAATATGTAATATATTTTACGAGAAATGAGACATCCTTTGTTCAAAAGCATCAGGTGAAGCGACGGCTATCATCTAATGATGGCGGCAGCTGATCACAGCTGGATCAGCTTTCAGTCGTCTTTAACAGCTGTTGAGACTGTAACTTCAATGGAGTTTGTGTCACATGTGCACTGCTAGTGTTAGGGTTGTGTGCACAGTATGATAGCCGTCAACTTTCATATCACTTTATCACTTAAAACCAGTATACCACTGCAACCCTAGCTACTATTAATAAAGGCACACAGTTATCACTGACAGAGGAACAATGTTTTCTCTCTGTTTAACAGACTCTGAATCTATAATATGTCCTGTCTCAAGGTGCAGAATGATCTTATGTGATTTATTCATTAGTAGTATCTGTAGGTACTTTTTTTATTGGGCTAAATGTTTGCGGGGCGTTTTGGCTGTTTAAAGACTTGCGTGAAGGCTGCTCTTGTCTATCCTCGCTCCTCAGAGATCCCTCCTTGCTCCACGTTCCTCAGTGCAGAAGAAGAAGAGCTTTGGGATGGTTTTCGAAAAAAGGTGCACCAGAACGACTTACAGTTCAAGGAAGGATTAAGGAGCGAAAAAATATCAAATTAAAACCTTGGGCTGTACCCCAAGCATATCCCAGCCATGTGCATCACTTTTTAGTATTCACAGGAAGCAGTTTTGTTGTTTTGTCTATTGTGTTGTGAGTTTCTTACAGTGTAAATGCCTTGTCGTATCAGCAAATTGGCGAATGTTTTCTAAATGCTCCCATGTGCTGCCATGTTGGTAAAAATGTTTATTCATTTTTTTGTGTTGTCTAGTTAAATGTGTTTTATTAATTTGCAGTGCATTGAGCTCTCAGGGATGCCTCATTTATTTGCCCATTTATAGCCTATTAAAACTAAGCGTCCATAGCATGTGTAAAATATCTACAGTTTTCGAATACTCCTGGTATTTATTACTTTGCTTTCATTTTCAGGTCAGTGTAACGTTTCCTTCCTCTGTCCTTGACATTTCAAGCAGCAGCCTCATGGATAGACTGAGCATCCAGCCTGCATGAAGAGTGTTACTCCTCATGGAAAAGATTTAATCAGTGCTGTCCAGCCAATGCTACATCTTGTTTCATATCCCCATCGTCCCACTGCAGTTCTCAACTTGATTGGCTATAACCTAGATGCCGGAGGACCCAAACACAAGACTTCACCAAAGGAAAAACTGAGGACGTAATAATTTTTTGTCCTCATTACCCCTAAAGTTGTGTGTCTTTTGTTTTTGTTCAGTCGACTGCAACAATGGGGGCTTCAAGCTATGGCTACTATCGTGCAACCATCTTCCTCTGCATGTTCATTGGCTACGCGCTGTACTTCTTTAACAGGAAGACCTTCTCCTTTGTCATGCCCTCTGTGATGGATGAGATTGAACTGGACAAAGATGACCTGGGTAAGTAAGAAGCAATGTCAGCCATTAGGCCATTAGGTCTACAGTGAGGCTATTGTGCACTCAGTCAGTACGTTTACATGCACAGTTAAGTCGAGCTACAATTATAGCTCAACTAGGCAACTTAATTTAATTTAATTGGAGTACTGTCCTTGTCCCAGTATACAATCACGGCAGGAGAACAGATTTATTGACAAAAGTATGTCCAGCTACGATAGGTGGCGATATGCCCCCTTGCAGCTTGTTAGTATTAGACCTTTTTCTGGTTGACCTGTTACGTCATAGACCAAACAATCGACAAATTAGCTACAGTTAGCTAGCGGCAAACTGGGACAATGGTGGACAACTTTACAATACTGTACATTACGTACATGCTGTATACTTTACTTTTTCTTTTCTTCTCTTTTTGATTTAGTATGATTTCGGTTGGATTAACATGTGCACATGTATTTTAAAAGTCTTGCTTTATTCTGTCTAGCACAACAAATCAATTTTCTCTAATGTCATGTAAACTGTTTGTTTGTGATGGTTAGCTCAGTGGGTAGGGGTGGGGGGGTTGAGTGCTCGGGGTTTGATTCCCTGCAGTACCACATCAGCAAACTTTTTGTTGCTGGTGTTACACAGGTAATCCTCCCAACTAGTGCTGCATGATTTGATAAAAATGTGCGATTTTGATTATGGTGGACAATATCGCGATTTGCGATTACAATATAATTACAATAAAATATAATAAATAAATGGTATCATGAGTCTTTTTGCTTGATTCAGTGTTTCCCCTACATTATATTAGGGGGGCACTGACCTGACATAGTTATTGTTATGGACAGACAGTGTGTCAATGACCATCAACAGACTGAGCACAGTCAAACACGCTGCTCACACAGCAGATTGCTCAATTTTTTCATTTGTTATGGAGTCCATGATCTCCCTGTGACACTTACAAATGTTTGCTTAACAGTGCTTGGATGTTGTTTTATGAGGCTCTGGCAGCTTGCAGTTGTCTCTTTGTCTTTAACATTACACGGCTCGGCTTTCTCTCGCATGCACTCTTCCTACTTTTCCCTGTGCTGTGCTGTCTCAAGTGTTGATATAGATTGGTCGTGTTGCCGCAGGACGTGGCGACTTTAACTTTTAAACTTTTACACAGCACGTCTTTCAGGTACGGCGACGTTGGACAGAAAGACGTGCTGTGTAAAAGTTTAAAAGTTGAACTCGCCACGTCCCGTCTCAAGTACTGATATAGATTGGTCGTGTTGCCGCGGGACGTGGCGACTTTAACTTTTACACTTACACAGCACGTCTCTCTGTTCAACGTGGCCGTACCTGAATCCAAAGTATCGCCATGTAACAGACGTTTTTTCGACACCAACGCTGGCTGCACGCACCGGGATAGCTTGTGGACGTGATGTCAACAAACTCCAGACACTACAGGAGTGGCAGTCATGTTCACAGGCACACACGTTAACATTTATTTAGCCTACATTAAATCGCAAATCGCAGCCTTTTATGCGGTTATGTAATCGCACAGCCTGAACTCGCGATTGCAGTTGCGATTAGATTAATCGTGCAGCACTACTCCCAACCCAGTTAGCACAAGCTAACACAGCAGCATCTGTACCATATTCTTTTACCCAATAGATACAGTTACTACAGAGCTTTCTCTTAGTGTGTGTGGCATTACTCAACATAGTTTGCAGCTACTATTGGACATTGGCTTTTCTCCCTACATAGAAAGGGCACTTTCTGAGCATCAGTAAGATAGATAATTTCAGGATATGCATTATTTATTTCTTCAAAGAAAATCTTAAATTGCATATGTACAAAGCTACAGCTTGTGTTTCCTTTTATATAATCTTTACATTTATACTGACCTTCATGGTCTCTCTGCAGGTCTGATCACTAGCAGCCAGACTATGGCCTATGCCATCAGTAAATTCATCAGCGGCGTGCTGTCGGACAAGATCAGTGCCCGCTGGCTCTTCTCCATCGGCCTCTTCTTGGTGGGGGGCATTAACGTAGCTTTCTCCTGGTCCTCCACTGTCTCCATGTTCTCTCTGCTTTGGTTCATCAATGGCCTGGGACAAGGCTGTGGCTGGCCTCCATGTGGGAAAGTGCTGCGCAAGGTAATTCCATCCTTTCGGCCACCTGATGCAACACAGATTACTCATTCAGTGTAATGTTCAGATCTAATAAAAGTCCCACTCACAGCACCAGGATTAGGCTTATCACTCAAAAAAATGTAATTTATGGGTCATTACACTTTTGAAAAATAACATTATCACTTTATCAGTCCCTGCCAACAAAAATCCATTAGACACTGCTGTTTCCACATGCCTTCCCCTGCTAATTTTAAAAGGGAATTGTTAGAATCCCTCTTGGTGTAGGCCTACAGTATGCATTGGCACAGTATCATCCGCCGCGCTCAATAACAGCACAGTCTCACCATGTCTCAACCGATGCATGAAGTGGAACAATCAAATCATGTTTTAATCAACATTTCTCAATTTATCCTTCTCTGCACACTGTTTCCTTATTCAAACATGTTTAAAACAATATGTTATAACGTTAAACGTAAGACATTCTATGTTATAACAACAATATAACATGAAACATTTCTTTTTATAACAATATAAGTGATCTCATTAAGATGTCACAGTAAGTATAATCCATGATGTTAAGTATACTTAGAAATATTTTTACAATCCATGTAAAATATTTTATATTTTATCCATAAAATAATGTCACAATTGAGCGGGTGGATACACATCAATACCCTATATGTCACACTAACTTTATTTGTGAGCGTGCTATCTGCTCTCTTTGGATGGCATATCCAGCTGCTCGACCTAACGACCAACGAAGGAGGCTGCTCCTGTTGCTTGCTACCCCAAATACACTACAGGCGACGGGCCTGCCAACGGAAGTTCTGGATCCAGCTGGGTCGGACCTCCGTTGGCAAGCCCGTCGCTGCTTTCATGGTAGTGTATTTGGCCGTTCAGGCGCCTCTGTTGTTGAATTAGGTCGCGCTATTTTTGTGGATCGGGTTGTTTTTATTTTCCGCACTTCCCTATTTTGGTATTGACTCTGACTTCTGATTGGTTAAAATGGCCTTTCCATTAGAAGTTACATCGCCACCTAGTGCTTTGGCATGTGTATTACATCACTTGGTAGCAGGTTTTGCAGTTTTGTGTGGATATCATATTTTTTTTTTATCACACCACTTGTGTGGACGAATTTTTTTTTGAAACCGCAGCCCGAAAAACTTTGGTTTCAGAATTGGTTTTCGCCACAGCTCCCGCACTGAATTCCACATGAACTACAGAACTCCCATGTTGCTCTGCAAGCGTACTAGGCTGATGGGTAGAATTTAAGAAACAGGCTAAATGACATGATGTTGCACACTCTTGTACAGTAGATGGCGATATGCACCTTTAAATTGTTTGCAATCTGCCAATAAACTGAGAGAAGAAGAAAAAAAAGAATTGCTTTGCAAGCTGTCATTCCGATTGAGACTGGCCTAGCTTAGGCCCTGCCCACCAGGTTCAACTTTTTACTCGCAAAACTTTTTGACTTGCAAACGAAAAAAAATGACTCGCAAAAAAAACTTTAGGATTTGCAAACAAAACTTTGGGATTTGCAAACAAAACTTTAGGATCTGAATTTTTTAATCAATCATTTTTACATGCAATAAAACATTTTTTGATTGCAATATTGATACTTTTGCTCTCAAATCTTTTTTTTGATTGCAAAACCTACTCTGTTTGATTGAATAATAAAGAAACAAATGTAGCTCCATAAATTTACCTCAGAGGGCTCAGCACACGACATCCCTTTATCCCTAATAGCAGTTAAGGAAAAACTCCCTCTCCAACATACCCTTTGAACGGGGAAAGAAAAATAGAAGTATGACAGTAATCCATGTAACAAACAATTATAACAATAGTTATCAAAACATGAAAAATGATAGAAGAGTTTTAATTACAGCTACTTTAAAAGATTGGTTTGTAACCTGTTAATAAAGAAACATTGATCATATCTAATAAAGAAATGTTACCTAAGGATTAAACTTATTTAAGTAACCTAGTTGAGATGGGATCTAAGAGAAATGTTGATGGTTTAGATGAGAAAATCATTTAGGTTAGTTGTTGAAGGTTGAAAGGAGAAAACAGTCTAAATATATTTCAGGTCTCACAGCTGTATCTAAGGTCCCTGTATTGGAAGACAGGTTGGTACTCTTTGAGGGCAGGAAGTGATGAATTCTGACTCTAATAGTTGGATTTTTGTCATTAAAGAAACTCATAAAGTCATTACTGTTGAGGACTAAAATAATACAGACAGAGCTGTGACTCTGGCTACAGTGCTGAAAAAATTGTTATTTTTCTCTATTAATGATGAGTAATAGTTTGCCCTGGCACTGCTGATAGCCTTATTTTTTGTCTTGGCAGACTAAATGAGATTCCTCCAGATTGGTTGAATGCCAAGTCCTTTGAAATTTTTTTGCGATATTTGTTTAACTTTGGTTTGGCAGTAATACCACTGAGCTAACTTTCTTTGTTTCATTATCTTCATTTTAAGAGGTGCAACAGTTAGAGTTAAGTGCTAGCCTGCAGTATTATCAATAAGATAATCAATTATGGAGGAACAAACGTTAGTATAGGTGACCTCTTTGACATTGAGACATGGTATTTCATTTAAAGCCAATGGATTCACCTCCTTAAATTTAGCCACAGCAATATCAGATAGACATCTAGTATAGTAGCTTTTGCCAAGTGGCGTGTAATTGAGTAATAAGAAATCAAATACATCAAATGGTCTGATGAAGAGGGATTCTCAGGAAAGACTATTAAGTCTTCAATTTAGAACAAGACTGAGGGTGTGGTTAAAACAGTGAGTGGGTTTATGTAGCTACAACCTGACTGAAGCCAGTTGAGTCTAATAATGAGATAAATGCAGCATAATTGTCGTCCACATGAACATTTAAATTACCCACAATAAAAATTTAATCTGATTTAAGGACTATACTCGATACAAACTCTGAGAATTCATATAAAAATTCAGAATACAGACAAGGAACTCTGTATACCATGGCTGTAAACATGTTAATTTCTGCTGTAAAGTTTGGCATTTTAACATGGAGGTCTATAGGTACTAATTCACTTCTGGAGACAGCCTCAAGTGGCAGTCTGAGGGACTGTAGTTTTTGGCACTTCTGCATTGGCCTCATTTTTCAGCTCTGGAGGTTGCTGCTTGGTGTAACCCTGGAGTGAGAGCCACCCGCTGCCAGACATATTGTCTTTGTTTTCCCTCTGTTCTGTGAGAGACAATGCTGTGAGAGATAGTGCTCCTGTCTCTTGGTTGTTGGAAGTGTTTGGAGAAATCCTGTCCTTGCTGTCAGACAGTGCAGACTTTTGGGCCAGAGGTAGCACTATCTGGCTTGAGGAGATACCAGCCTCTATGAGACACTGATTGTGCAAGTCCAAAGTGGTGATATTGGCAGTGGTAGTAATTCGAGAACATACAGGGCTTGCTAGGTCCGTGTACTTCGCGGCCATTCCTTAATCGTTTTGATGTAGGTAAACAAAAAACGGGAAACAATCCTATTTTCCTTTTTCGTTTTGAAGTAGGTAAACAAAAAATGGGAAACAATCCTATTTTCCTTTTTAGTTTTGATGTAGGTAAACAAAAAACAGGAAACGAGTCGTCTCCCGTTTCTCGTTTGGAAATTGGAAATCAAAAAACAAGTCTTTACCTGATTTTCTATTATGTGTTTATTAACCACAAGTCGGGAAGTAAAATATGACTGAATTCTTTTAATCAAACTTGCTTTGCCTTAACCCGGAAAACATTCTTATTCTTATTCTTATTCTTCTCCTTCTTTGTTTGCGATGGCAGACTAGACTACGGTGCATTGCTGCTCCCTGCTGATACTACTGGTTTGCCGTGCTTGTGGCGTGCCCCGTTACAGCAGTCTACAAGCATGCTCTGTCAATAATCAGCTCAGACACTGTTAGAAATGTAGTATTTAGCCTAATAACATCATGCTACAACAGTAATAACGTCAGCTTTAGTCAAATGGCTCTAGCTCTCCTGGTAAATGTCAAAAACTCTGGATACATTTTCCCTGTATGTTGACATGATAATGGTGTTTCCCAGATCGCTCTTAGCTTAAGAAGATCTTTCACTAAGAAGGAGTTGTAAGATTGAGCTGACCCACTCTTAACAGTCTTCTTAGCGACAAAACGCTCACAGATCCAGCCACGGCAGTCACATTAATATTACACTAAGCAAGGAGATGTTAAAACAGAGCGCGCCGTAGTCTATATATTTTGTTCTGTTTCATACTTCAGATTATTGTTTAGCATTAATTGGTGACAGAAAAGAACGAATTTCATTCTGCAGGGAAACGTGTGTCCTTACTGTGCATCTTGAATCTTGAATCTATATATTTTATGAAGACCCTGTGTGCGCTCCAAGCTGTGGCACAAGTTACACACCGAAATCTGGCAGAAGAAAAATAGCCTAATAATAAGACGAAAAATAAGTAGGCTGTGTGTGACTTATGCGCTGCTGAGGTGGTGGGTGATCGATGTGCCTGACATCAATTGATTTAGTTTCAGCACCGCGTTAGTGGCCAGCTCTTGTTAAGAGTTTCTTAAAGAGTGATCTCAAGTAAAATCTTAAATGGATGCAGAAAGTGAAAAGAAAGCAATAACCTAATTTAAAAAGTTGCCTCTATTGAAAATGCATTTAATCTCTGATTCAATTTGAAAGTTATTTCTCAAGACAAGTTCTGTATTTACCTTGTCCGCCTTCATTCTGTTTATATCTTAACAGGAGCTGGCCACTGCCGCGGTGCTGAAACTCTAAATCAATCGATGTCAGGCACATTGATCACCCACCACTTCATCAGCGCATAAGTAACACACAGCCTACTTAATTTTCGTCTTATTATTATTATTATCAATAAAAAAAAGTTTCCACTAATTATTTCGGTGTTTATTTCTTTTATTTTTAAGTTTTTTTTAATTAAAATGCGTAATATAGTCAACAATATTATAGACCAAAAGTTAATGTAATTTATTATTGTAGAATGTATTTAGCAAATCACCACTTTCAACTGGAGACACGGCGCAGCAGCAGCGCAGCAGCAAAAAAACAAAACAAAAAAACAAACAAAAAATAAACATTATAATAGGGATGTCCCAATCCAGCTTTTTCACTTCCGATCCGATACCGATATTACAGCCTTGAGTTTTGGCCGATACCGATACCAATCCGATCCAAGCACGTATTATACATATTCACTTATTTTGTTGTCAGTCATGTTAGAAAAGGTTTGATCAAGGAAAGAACAACTACTTAATCAGGTTAGTTAGAATGATCCACAACAGTTGGTATGAGAAACTGACCTGTTTATTGTTAACAGGGTTAAATAAATAAACTTTAAACTTGAACATTAACATGAAATAAAAAATATAGCTGGTTTGCTTTGGCTGCTTTGGCCCCTTAATAAATAGAAAATGAATCAACACAAGAAATCTTTAAAATGTCTAACAATGAAATTAAAATAGCAGCAAGACTCCACACACTTGTGCTTTGCCCCCTAATAAATAAAAAATAGATTAACACCACAAGACACTGTTGGCATTTAACAAACAATGCAGCCTTTCCTTTTCAGTTATTTTAGTAGTGTTTTTGTAGTCCATCCATGGCTCCAATTTCATTAATTGTGCCCAAAACAATGCCATCAGTGCTCTTTACTTAAACAGTAAGAGTGTAAACCAAATAAAAATATCACTCTCAAAAAACCAGAGCAGGAAACAAATAGTCAGTTAACTAAATTGACCTCTACTCTTCCTACCCTCTGCGTATCTGCCGTCTGCATGCTGGCCTGGTGGATTGATAGTAAGAGCTGGAGCGGATCACTGGAATGGACTGCTTGAATCACGGAGCGATGGGCTGGCCAGAAAACCTGGCACAGACTCCGTGAAAAACTGGATCGGAGTTCATGGATCTGCATTTTTCCATGCAGTCCGATCCGATGCCGATACCCGTTTTTTGCTAATATCGGCGGCCAATACCAATCCGAATATCGGATCGGGACATCCCTACATTATAAATAGCCGACAAATAGTGTTAATTAATTGACATGAGACACTGGAGAGGTTGTCAGTCCTATATGTAATTTTTTTATTTTATTTTATCATAACTTCTCGGAAATTACTCAAAAATGCATTTTTTGTGTGCTTCTGAGCACACAGGCAGACAGTGAAGTTAGATATGACGATTGCAGCGCTTGGAGGGCCGCTGTAATCCTGGCGGTCCTACTAGAGCCATTTGACTAAAGCTGACGTTATTACTGCTGTAGCATGATGTTATTAGGCTAAATACTACATTTCTAACAGTGTCTGAGCTGATTTATTGGCACAGCATGCTTGTAGGCTGCTGTAATGGGGCACGGCACAAGCGCGGCAAACCAGTAGTATCAGCAGGGGTCAGCAATGCACCGTAGTCTAGTCTGCCATCGCAAACAAAGAAGGAGAAGAATAAGAATGGTTTCCGGGTTAAGGCAAAGCAAGTTTGCTTAAATTACGGTCGTATTTTATTTCCCGACTTGTGGTTAATAAACGCATAATAGAAAATCAGGTAAAGACTTGTTTTTAGTTTTTAAATTTCCAATTTCCAAATGAGAAACGGGAGACGACTCGTTTCCCGTTTTTTGTTTACCTACATCAAAACGAAAAAGGAAAATAGGATTGTTTCCTGTTTTTTGTTTTCCTTTTTCGTGTTGAAGTAGGTAAATAGGATTGTTTCCCTTTTTTTTGTTTACCTACTTCAAAACGAATAACGAATGGCCGCAAAGTACACGGTCCCTTGCTAACAATCTGCAAGGGCTCATTCACAAATAGCTTTTGGATCGTAAAGATCTTGTGAATGGTATATATTATAGGCAGAGCTTGGAAAGCATATACTCTTTGAGCAAACCGTAACACGTTCAGCTATTCTATGCTTAGAGACAGCTTGAAGCTTGTGAGAAGCTGGCTTAAAAGTAGGAGTGTTCAAAAGGTGAAGAATAAATAGGCTTTGGAATATATGCAATGAGTGAAAGGGATCAGATTGCAGGAGAAAGTATTTATAGACTGTCCTCATTAGATCTTTACAAAAGAAAAACTATTTTGACTAAATGTTTTTTCTTATTTGGTGACTTATTTTTCATAACTTTAAGTTTTTACCAGTTTGCTGCAGTTGTGCAGCACCTGTTTCACGGCTTGGCATCCACAATATTTGGATCAACACAGTGTTCAATCAGCTTGTGGGCTGCTTTAAGTTTTTGCCTCGTGGCTTCTCGAGTTACTGGTTCCTCTGTTAGGTATGCAGTCACAAATGTTTATTGCTGCCTTCAGCTGTAGTACATCATGAAGGTGCGTGACTGCATGTGCCAGCAGTAAAATATAAGAAGAATCTGAACAGTGTTGTTCTCAAAACAGAGTGCTGTAAATCGAAGTCTTGCCTCCTCTCTCTGAAAGATAATTAAATGATGTGAATAAGCTTGTTTTGGAACATGACTTGTGGGTTTCTTCATTAAAGTGCAACATGGAAAGTAACCGTAGATGTTACAATATATGATAGTGGTAAACATCCATGTGGAGGAAAAGTAAGTCTGCATTCTCTGCCTGCATTGTAGGAATTTAGAAATATTTACTCTGCTCTGCTTTGTTTTCTCCTGTGTCTCTTTTCAAACAGTGGTTTGAGCCCTCCCAGTTTGGAACATGGTGGTCTGTGCTGTCCTGCAGTATGAACCTAGCTGGAAGTCTGGGACCAATCCTGGTCACAGTGCTTCTGCAGTACTACACCTGGAGGAATATCCTGACTGTGTCAGGCATTATCTGTGCTGCTTTCTCATTTATTTGTTTGGTGTTTGTAACGAATGAGCCAAAAAATGTGGGCCTGCCTAGCATCGAGGCAGCAGCCAATAAGGGGGCCAAGGGAGGTAAGTAAATAGAGTTGGTGAGTCAGTGGATTACAGTTGATATATAGGCCACTCCCTGTGTAGCTGAGAATGGTAACCTCAAAGCATGTCAATCACATGGTGCCATGTTAACTCCCTTTTGGTTATAACATCTTAGCAATGGGTGTGCCCCAACATCCAAAGTTATGATATATGTGATCAGTATGTATGACAACTTTTGGTAACTTCCACAGACCCAAGTACCTCTTCAGGCCCTGATTAAAGAGAAAGCATTTTAGTAGCTGGAGGCGGCCTTTTGTAATTGTTTTTAATGAGAATGAAGCTTTTGTTCACTGTTTTTGCGTTGTTACACGCCTCATGTTTCAGCACTCTAGACGCCTGGCATTTTTGCTAGAATGCTCTGAACTCCTCGAGTTGAAAAATCTTAAACTCAGAGTGGAAACACGCCCCAGGCCATCTCCACTTTTTTCCCATTGTTCAATCAGATGATTTGCTTTCTGGTGGTGGTCATGACAACAAGTTTACAGTTGTTAAACAATGGAGGAGAAACAGGTGGTAGTGGTTGCAGGATACCTAGAGCTGTACAGCCTGACGATAGACAGCAGGTTGTCAAACTGCCCCCAAGTCATCCTAAAATACGTCAGGAAATGGCCATTGTGGAGGTGAAGCTCCTGGACCAACTGGTGGTACTCCTAGTGATCCACCCTCTTTTTATGGTCTCATGTACCCACACAGATCTCCGTTTCCCTGTGCCCAACAAACTATTTGCTGGCAGCCTCTCACCCTCAACCAGAGCTACAGCAAGTACGCTCTGCCTGTCCTATACATCAAGGGCATTATTTCTACCATTATTTATTTATTTAGTTATTTTTTCACTTATTTTTTTACTTATTTCAGTACACAAATGGTCTAAACAGGAAACAGTTTCTGTTCCTTCTTCAAAGATGGCTAATGCAAGAGCATCATTCCTGTTTTGTAATAATTGTCATGTTCAAAATAAAGACATCAATCAAAAGAAATGATGGAACAAACTACTCACCTGTATCCATCAGCTGCAGTATTTTTAGCCCCGGTAAACAGGTAATCGTTTTCCGTTCTTAACTTAATGAATTGGAACATTTGTTCCGTGGTCCCTATTTCAGATAAATCGTGAGTAAATAATTCCAGGGCAAAGCTTTATGTGAATTTCCTCACCACAGACACATTAACAAAGCTTCCTAACATGTACCATTATGACGCTATGATATGAACGGGACTATGATGTACGACATCTATTGCACGTCTGTCCGTCCTGGAAGAGGGATCCCTCCTCAGTTGCTCTTCCTGAGGTTTCTAGGGATGTCGTATGCTGTAAAGCCCTGTGAGGCAAATTGTGATTTGTGATATTGGGCTTTATAAATAAAATTGATTGATTGATTGATGATATAAAGTTAAATTTATAAAACATTTTTCTTACATTGAAATTTCTTCAGCGGCATCTCAGTCGAAATCCCGATGATGGCAGACTCACTGAACTATAGTGGGCAGACTTCACCAGCTTCTCCTTCTTTAGTTTATTGGCGGAACTCCACCAGCTGGTGATGCATTGTGAGATTTATACTTGGCCAAATACCGCTCAGATGCGGTCTTACCGTAAGTGTGGGTACAAATTAAGTGCACTGCACTTTTGGTCATCGTAGAAATGGAATACACTTGCGCACTTACACTAAGCACATGGATGTACACGTCAAGTGTCCAAGTGCGTAAGTGTGATCAATGAGACAGGCCCATCATCTCTGTGCTGCTCAAGCGAACTCTACCAGCTTGCTGTCTGTTTTTTCTTCACTTCAGTTGCTTAACATCTAATTCAAGTCTTAACCCACACTAGTTCTGTTTAAGCACTTATAGCCCTCCTCTTTTTTACGACTTTCTTACTAATCTCTTAGTTGTTTTTTGCACGTTATTAGCCTTGTTAGCTACATTAGCTTAACAGTTAGCGATGGCTTCTCCTTCTGCTCTTTCTTGCTCAGTGTGCCAGATGTTTAGCTATGCCTCTGCCTCCTTTAGTGGTAATGGTAATTGTAACAAGTGTAGCTTATTTGCTGCACACCATGGAAAATCATTCAGTAGCTGCGGTAGTTAGCCAGTTCCCTGTAGCCGGTGTGGAGCCACATAGCATATCCTCGGCTAGCGGTCCCCCGGTGACCCCTGTGCAGCCAGGAGGCTGGGTAACTGTCCGGGAGAAGTGTAGCTCCAAGCCAAAGCCCACGGTTCACCAGCCTGTTCATGTTTCTAACTGCTTTTCCCCACTCAGCGACACACCCGCTGAGGAGAAAGCTCTGATCACTGGCAGCTCTATTCTGAGAAACGTGAAGTTAGCAACACCAGCAGCCATAGTCAAATGTATCCCTGGGGCCAGAGTGGGCAACACTGAGTCAAATTTAAAACTGCTGGCTAAGGCTAAACGTAGATTTAGTAAGATCATTATTCACGTCGGTGGCAATGACACCTGGTTACGCCAATCGGAGGTCACTAAAATTAATGTTGCCTCGGTGTGTGAATACGCAAAAACTATGTTGGACTCCGTAGGTTTCTCTGGACCCCTCCCAAATCTGACCACTGATGACATGTTTAGCTGCGTGTCATCATTTAATGGCTGGCTATCAATGTGGTGTCCAGCAAACAATGTGGGTTTCGTTAATCATTGGCAGACTTTCTGGGGAAAACCTGGTCTTACTAGGAGAGACGGCATTCATCCCACTTTGAATGGAGTTGCTCTCATATCTAGGAACCTGGCCAAGTTTATTAGTAATTCAAAACCTTGACAACCCAGAGTTGAGACCAGGACTCAGAGTCGAAGTCTTACACGCTTATCTGAGCTTCTAGTGCAGTTACCCACCCATAGTTTTATACAAACAGTGTCTGTCCCCCGACCACCTAAATTATCTAAATCTGAAATTAAACAAAGAGGAGTTGTGCATAACAACCTCATAAAAATTAAAACCTCTTCTGTGACAGAAAGACAAAACAGGAGAATTAAAGAGGCAACAGATAGGATTCGTTTTTTTTTTTTTTTTAGCTTGGCGCCACCTAGTGTCAGCGGTGTTGCTCGCACTGTCGCAAAGACAAATTGACCGTGGGGATCAGAGATAATCAATAAAATGTAGGCTGTAAAGCCACCAGTATACCTCTATGTGTATGTAGAATGAGAAAGTGTGTGGACACTCCACTAAATAAATAAGTCAAGAGACCGAGCAACAATTATCAGATTTATCTGAAGAAAAACACAAATAGTAATGCAAATAATTATACCAGAATGCACAGTACCAGACAAACAGCTCACAGTAAATTTCAATTCAATTTCAATTTCAATTTTATTTATAAAGCCCAATATCACAAATCACAATTTGCCTCACAGGGCTTTACAGCATACGACATCCCTCTGTCC